CAGGCCCCCGGGAGCCCGGGAGGAGGCGCGGCCCGGCTCTGGGGCCCGACGGGGCGGCCTGGAGGGCTTTCACCAGACCGGACCGCGGAAGCCGCCCTGAGGACACCGAGCCGGGACAAGGCGCGCCAGAACGCGGGGCCACAGCCGGGGTAAGAGGGGGAGACGGTGCAGCCCCCTCCCAATCCGTGCGTCCATCCCGCTGGGGAGGTCTGAGAGCCTCCCCCCAGTTACCAGAGCACCCCAATCCCGGGAAGCCACCCAGCAGACCCGCAAAAGGAGGGGTGATGCTGGGGGTGAGGGGCAGGGTGGTGCCAGAAGCAGAGGGAGACGTAGGGGTGCTGTTGGGGTCCAAAGGGTCAGCCTGGGGGGGGGACGGCAGTGTGGGTAGTCGGGTGGGCTGCTCAGAGGTCGGGAGACCTGTTACAGTGGTGGAAAGCAGAGGGAGCCGTGTGGTGGCGATGAGAATGCGGAGGTCACACCTGAGGTCCACAGGCCGGCGCGGGGGGGCTGGTGACACGGGGGGACTATGAGGAGGGATCCCATGGTCAATGTGGGGGTGTCTCAGGATGCGATTTCAGGGTTACGACCACCTGTGGGGCTTGGGGGTCTCCTGGGCCCGCGCGGGGCTTCCATCCTGGCCGGCAGCTGGGGGTGGGGGTGGGATTAAGGATATTAGCGCAGCTCCCCTCACACAGCTCATAGAAGGCACTCCAGGCTCAGAGCCGCCAGCACCCGTGTGGCAGGCAGTTCCTGGGCTCCCCCTCCTCCATCTTTGCCCACTTGAACCTCCACTCCTCCTGCCCCCCCTTAGGCACTGCCTGGTCCCCCCCCACCAGCCTCTCCCCCCTCACTCCTACAGGTGAGCACCCCCTCCTCAGGGTCCATGTGCCCACCCCAAGCCCAGGTGGAGGCGGGCCCCATCATGACTGAAAAGGCAGAGATGGCAGGCACCCCCAGCCCAGCACCCTCCGGGACCCCAAAGTCTGCCTCCCCGGAGTCCCCCCCACCCCCGGAGGAGGCAGGCCATCCAGGCCCCTCCCCGCTCAGACTGCCCCCCGGCGTGCCAGTGATCAGCCTGGGGCACACCCGGCTCCCAGGCCCAGCCGTGCCCACCACAGAGCTGAGCACCCTCCGGCCCCCCATGCTGCACCTGTCGGCCCTGGGGGCCACGCCGCCCGCCCTGGCCCTGCACTACCACCCTCACCCCTTCCTCAACAGGTCAGTGGGGAAGACGGGGCTGGAAGGGGACACTGGAGATGGGGGGACCAGGGTCCTTGCCCACAGAGGCATTTGTGACCCACGACCCCTTACAGCATCTACATTGGGCCGGCAGGACCTTTTGGCATCTTGCCCAGCAGCAGGCTGAAGCGGAGACCGAGCCATTGTGACCTGGACCTGCCTGAGGGTGAGGGTGTGTGTGTGTGTGTGTGTGTGTGTGTGTGTGTGTGTGTGTCCACGCATGCGCACAGGCTTGCAGGTGTGTGTGTGTGTGTGTGTGTGTGTGTGTGTGTGTCCACGCATGCGCACAGCTTGCAGGTGGGGGCTGCCCCATCCCCTCCCACAGGGACAGGTATTTCCCACACATCCACCATGCCAAGCCCCGTCCAGGTTATAGCCAGATGCATTCAAGACCACAGCTTCCGCTCCCCGCGCCCCCCTCAAGGAGCCACTGGCCACAGCCGAGACTGGGAACCCCCCAAAATGATAGCTCCCCTGGAATGCACAGCCATGAAAGCCAGCCACACAACCACAACCACACAAGTCGGCTAGAGAACCACAGACAGCTACAGGGCAAGCCACACCACAGCCATCAGCCTGGCCACGAACCCCCCTCCCCACTCCCACCGGCCACAGGAGACACGGGGCACCTCTCATACACCCCCGGAATACACCGCAATGGGGCACCCTCAGCATGAGGGTTCCAGGGAGAGGGTGGCCTGCTCCCCAGGGGATCTCAGCCCCTTCGCCGCCATCGAGGGGCGCGGAGTCGCGCGCATCAGGGCCTCGGTGTCGGCCGGGGAGCCCCGGGAGCCCTTGGGGTCCACGTCTAGGGGCCCGGGAAAGGCCGATCTGCACGTGGGGGCTGCAGGGGTGCCTGCCTCGCGCTGCCCGGCCCGGCCGCCCACCCGTTCCCTCCTCCGGCCACAGGGCACCAGCCGCAGAAGGTGGCGCGGCGCGTGTTCACCAACAGCCGCGAGCGCTGGCGGCAGCAGAACGTGAACGGCGCCTTCGCCGAGCTCCGGAAGCTGCTGCCCACTCACCCGCCCGACCGGAAGCTGAGCAAGAACGAGGTGCTGCGCCTGGCCATGCGGTACATCGGCTTCCTGGTGCGGCTGCTGCGGGATCAGGCGGCGGCGCTGGCCGCGGGCTCCGCGGCGCC